GAACAGGATTTTCGTAATCTTTTAATCCTGACACAACTCTCGTCAATTCTTTTAGCTCACAACAACTACCCCTCTCTTTTTCATTTTAGTCTCAGCACACAAACCCTTTTGTATTTAAGCTCACTCAGATATGGTTGTCCTCTTGGGTAGGTCTGTCGGTTTTGACATTTCATAGAGATATTTCTGATAAGCACTCAGTCCCTCCTAAAATTTTGCATTATGCACATTTGATCACAACGGTTGATCAAAAATATTATTTCTTTAAAGCACAATGATCAGATCAAATTTGATCAAATTTTTTTTTTGGCTTTAAGCACAATTAATAAAAGAATTATGCGACAACAATTCGATTATTTGGTATGTGAGAGAAATGAATGAAGATCGGTAAGAACAAGTTTACAGATTCTGATATTAAAAAAAATGAATGTATATGAATCAATGTAAAGAAAATATCAGAGAACAAAAAAAAAAATGAATACAAACGAGTGTATTATCACCGAAAAAGATTTTCATATAAAGACATGATAATAACAGTTTGAAGAATAGCTGAAACAGGTATTGGAATTATGTACGACGAGAAATTATGCAAGTAAAATCTCAAGAAATAACTATTCAGAGAATGTACTCGTTTCAGAAAACAATTCCATTTTTCAAAAACATTTATTCAAGAATTCTAGACTCTCCCCCTAGAAAACAGATTTAAGTAATGAATCAGTTAAGCTCAAAAAATTAAAAAATTTGAAGAAAATATTTTAAGTACGAGTTCTAAACTGAGTGTTTAGAAACCACACTCGGTAAAGCACGGGTCCTGAACCGAAATGTTCAGAAGCCTCTGAATAATTACAACTCCCCCTGCATTGGTGTATCACTGAAATGATATTCTGATCAGCACAAAATTGACACACCTGCAAAATCAGATCAAGTAGATTTTGGTACCCAAACTAACTTGGGTCCTAATATGTTAGTATCAGGTTGGGGTATATTGTAACTTCCAAACCATTTATTTCTTTAAGATATTTTCTTTTCAGCACTATGAACAGGATGATCAGGAATAAAATATGAACCGTACCAGTAATTGTGATCATACCTGTTCTTACCATTCGAATTAGTCTGATATCTGTTGGTTGTACTCCATCTGTTATAGTTCTTCTTATTCACAAAATCTGTTGATTTACATGTGGAGCACATGATTCTTCTCTTGCTAAGATGAATCAAATCAGAAGTGGATCTCACAAAGCAAGGAAGATTGTTAGTAACAACAGAATTCTGAGATAAAACAGATTCAGACTTATTAACCCACATTCTTTTAACCTTTGAAGAATAATTGAGTGATCCAATGACATACCCTTGATAATACTGATTAGAAGAACAAGAAGAGTTCTTAGAAACAGTAGATTTAGGACTACTTGAATAACTGTTCGATTTGGAACAGTCATAAAAGTTGGTTTTACACTGAGAAGGAGAACCAGTTGAGTTTTGAGCACACGAAAAGCCTTTGACTCTTTGTAAAAGCTGGTCTCTTTTAGCAGTAACTAAATCAAATTTAATTTTCAGTTCAATTCTCATCTTCATCTCAGTTTCAAGGTCTATCTTTAGATCAGACAATTTACTTGTAATATCCAGAAGTTTACCTTCTAACTCCTTTTGTAGCATTTCAAACTTTTTCTTCTGATTTATCAACTCTCGTTTCTCTTCATCTGAGCTGCTCTTGTCATTCTCCGAAAGCGATGTCAAGCCACTTTTTCTTACTTGCAAGCTCCTTAGCAATTGTTGTATACTTTTTTGAAGTATTTCTTTTCTCAAGGGCAAATTGCTTTTTCTCATCGTCTAAAGCCTTTTGCTTTAGGTCAATTGCTTTAGGTCAACTTTGGTCAAACTCTATTATACGTAAAATGAATTTTACAATTAGCTCTCTTACAACAATTACAAGATAAACTCCTATTTATATGGTCAAA